GCAGCTCCCTCCTGAAAGGAAGGCGGGGCGCCGTTCTCCTCGCCGCTTGGCGCCTGGGAACGAGGCTGCCCCGGTCGGGCCTTCAATACCTCCCGGGCAGGGCGGGAGGGGAGAGAGGCCCCGCTGGAGGGAGCTGGGGGCCCACCCAGACCTAGCCATTCCCTCCCCGTGGCGGAGCCCTGCACAGGCCAAGCTCTTCATCCCTCTGCCGCGGGCTCCACTGCGGAACCCCAGCGCACAGACACTGAAACTGAGGCTGAGTCCAGGACAGGGAGCTGCGTGAGTTCGAACCCAGTGTCTCCCCCAGACCTCAGCCGTCCTGTCAGCCACAGCCCCTGCGGTCCTGCTCCTGGGGCCGCACCCAGGCCTGCAGCCGAGTCCTCGCAGGGCCAGCGGCCGGAGGCAGGTCCTCCTTCCCTGAGCTCCGAGGTGTCCAGCTCCAGCCGGAATGATGAGAAGAGGTTGGGGTCCCAGACCTGCAAAAGCCGCAATGACGCTCCCCGAGGTGGTCGGTGGTCTTCCCACCCCCACCGACCCTCTGGGAGCCAGCGGCGGTGGGAATAAGCGTCCAGGCCTTCCCATGCGGGAGAGGTTCTCAGAGCCCGAGTCCGCCCCACAGGCCTCACACCCAGCCGGCTCGGAGGCTGTTCTGCCTGCCCGGCCTGAGGCTGCAGCAGGCCCACCTCCCCAGGGAAGAGCGCGGTTCCTCACGGCCAGAGGGCACTGAGCCCGGGCATGCCCAGGCCCCAGGCCCGGCGAGTGGGAGGCTGTGGCCCTGCGGGCGGGCTGCACGCTTTAATGGGACACATGTCCCTGTGTGGCCCCCGCGGGCCCGGCTTTGAGTGGCCACAGGCAGAAAATTGCTGCATTGTCCCGACATTAGGGCCACTAATGTGCGTGGCCAGCACGGCCGGAGCGTGAAGCCTGCTCGAAGCCTGGCGGGCGGGTGCGCCCGGCTTCGCATCTTCATCAGATCTTCACCAGGCCCGAGGCCCGGGCTCTGTCATAGTCGCTAGCGGGCCTCAGAGCTGGCTGGGCCCGTGCACCCCCAGTGGGACCCCAAGAACACTCAGAGGCAAGAGCAGCAAGGACGAGGCAGGTGGGCCTGGTGGCGGGGCCCAGAACTTCGGGACACTGGGAGGGGACAGTCATGGGGGAATGGGCCTGGAGGGGATCCCAGACGCGGGAAATGGTGGGGTGAGAGGGATAAGGGAAAGACTAGGGAAGGGGAAGGGGGTTGCTGGGGATGGAGGAAGGGCCCTGGGGCAGAGCTGAAGCCCGGGTGGCAGGAGGGGTCGGGCAGAGGGAGGTGGGGAATTCACTGCGTGTCCCCCTCTCCTCCCCTCCCCCTCAGGGGTCCTGGAGCCCAGGATCCCTCATTGACATGTAAACGAGGGGCCCCTATAAAGGCTAGGCCGCCTCCCGCGGGCACGTACACGACAACATGGGCACTGAGCCCGGGACCCAGGGCAGCTCTGGGGGCCCTGCGGGCAGATTCCGAAAGGTCCGGGGTGCTGAAGAGCTCGGGGTGGGGGCCCTGCCCGCCGGCGGGGGCAAAGGGCGAGAGGGCCGCGCCGCCGCCCTCTAACAACCTCTTGTCCACAGATCTCCAAGCCACTGATGGAGAAGAAACGACGGGCGCGCATCAACGTGTCGCTGGAGCAGCTCCGGTCGTTGCTGGAGAAGCACTATTCGCACCAGGTGAGCCCGGGCGCGGCGGTGGGTGGTGCGATCCATCCCTCGCCTCTCCCCACCGCGGGCTCCCGGCTGAGAGCCCTTCCCACCAACCGCAGATCCGGAAACGCAAGTTGGAGAAGGCCGACATCCTGGAGCTGAGCGTCAAGTACATGAAAAGCCTCCAGAGCTCGGTGCAAGGTAGAGGGGGCCCTGGGAGGTTTGGGGGGGAGGAGCCCTGCGTACACACGGGGCCAGATAACTGAGGGATGGATGGAGAAAAAGGCACAGGGACTGGGCAGCCGGGCGAGGCGGGGCCCAGGCCACTGGAGGCGGGAGGCAGCAAGGGCGGCGGGCTGTGGAGTGGTAATCCGAGTGGAAGAAGGTCTGGACGTCCAGGTGGCCTCGCCTCCCTCCCCTTCCTTCCCTTCTCTTCCTTTCCCCTCCACGCTTCTCCCCTCCCTTTCTCCCTCTTCTCTACAACTCTCCCTTTCTCTTCTCCCCTTCCCCTCTCCCCAGGGCTCTGGCCCGTGCGCAGCGGCGCCGAGTACCCGTCGGGCTTCCGCGGCTGTCTGCCGGGC